TTTTCCAGATAAAATGAAAGTTGCAATTATTACACACATTTTTTAATTAGGAGATGAAAGTCTGGTTACAAATTATCGACCTATATCGATATTACCTGTTTTTTCAAAAATCCTCTAACATATTATGTATATTTGTATTTGTATTTTTGTATGATAATCTTCTTTATTATAACCAATATGGTTTTCAATCAAATTACTCTACGGAAAAAAATATTTCTTTAAGGTTTTTTCTTTTATATTCCATTTAATAACTTTGTATTAAAAAAAAAATTTTGTTTACTATAAACAATTTTGTTTTCTGTTACTAAATATTTCAATAAAGTAATTAGCTTAATAAAGATTAAGTTTTCGTAATTTTTAATTTTATTTGAGTTCTTTTCATTAGTAGTGCTTATATCTAACTTAATTGTCATTTAAACTTTGGTAACAAACTTTTTTACATAATTTTCATTCAAAAGTTAATGTGGTTTTTTATTCATAAAGTTAATAACTTCTTTTATCTTACCGCTTATAGAATAATTTAAAAGTTTTAAAGCTTTTAAAAATAATTTAAAAGATAAAAAGTTGCTTAACGGATATCTAGGTGTACATAATGCGTACATAACTCTAGGTGTACATAACGCGTACCTAAATTGCCTGCAGCTTAATGCTTTAAAACTAGGCCTGCTATAATTCTTTGCCTACGAGGCTTTCTATAAGACAGTATTGGGATGCATTTAACATCTACCCAAGATGATTTTTTTTTTATCAAGAAACCATCTCTAGCCTTTACTTTTTTACAAGTTATCTCTAAAAGCTTCCAATGAAATTCTTCTTCTAACCATAATCTTCTAAGATTTAAATCTTTATAGTTATAAAGTGTGCTGTTTTTAAATTGAATAAAATTGAATAAAACAGGTCTTTTTTAGCCATAAAAAGGTATAAACATATGGTCTTAGGGGACCTTCAGGGGCACGGTTGATAGGCTTTAACCAAATGGTTTAAACCAATGCTTTAAACCATGGTTTAAACTAATCGAAAAAAGTACCCTTTTAACAAACTTGTAGTAATGTTACGAAGCTAAAACTTGGTACCAAAGGAGTTTAAAACCTGCTAAATCTGAAAATCATAAAATTATATCTCTCAAAACAATAAAATATAGTTTATTTTTAGATCCACGAAATGCACTTGGTAATGACAATAAAAAAGGCCATTAACAACTATAGTTCTAGAAAAAATCTGACTGATGAAAAAAAGTTTTGGTTTTCGTTATTTTAAATATTAAACATATATCTACTTTGCGAACCAATTTTTATTTGGCCTTTTGTTTTATTAAGGAGTTATTGATGTTTTAGTTTTTCAATTTTTCTAAAGATATTTTGCAAAAAAAAAAAAAAAAAATTGCAAATATATTTTGAATACAACTACAATTATTTTTGTTTTGTAATAGCTTTGTAAAAAATTTACAAAGTTATTACAAAACATAGTTGAACATTTTATAAATTTGTTTCTTTTTACTTTCATTACATAATAATAATGTCATTTTCATTACATAATATCATGTCATTAAATTTAACAATATTATGTAACTTTTGTTGTTGATTGTTTTGTTGTAATAAAACATTTATTATCATCAATAAAAAAAGTAATAAAATGATATAATAATGTCTAATTAACATTACCATGTTAAGTTACATAACTAAATAAAATTATATTTAGTTATCTTTTACTTTTATACAACTTTTTGTAAGTAGTTAATGGAGAATTTACAATAATTAGTAGATAGTTAGGCATTTAAAATATGTCTATTAAACTAATAGCTGTTCAAGCAATATGTTCTTTATAAATACATATTGATATGATATTGTTTGTGTTCAAGTGTACTTTTCTTGTTAGGGACATTAAGATTATTTAAGATTTCTTGTATTAAGTGTTTAGTCAGAGATTCCTCATTATATTTTTATATGGATAACAAAATTAATTGCTGCTTTGTAAATAATTATGGATCTTGTTATAAACAATCATATACTGATTGAAGATATTGACAGCAATGACCGAAAGCTACTTGAAAAAAAACAAACAAATTTGAAACAAGAACAAATTACTAATATATGCACACACCATCATGATATGTTAGTTGTAAGATATGAGGGTAATCAGAAAATTTGCTGTAATCCATTTCTGAGTCACCAAAAGGTGTGTAGAGGTAAATATTTATATATTTATATTTCATTAGGTAATATCATTATTAAGTTTTAATAATGTCAAGTTTTAATAATGAGTATATGGATAAAGCAAACTTGTTTGATAACATGATGGTATTGTTAACTAATAAAATTGCAGAGTCAACATCAACATCAAAAAAAGTACAACTTGCGACACTTGCTCCAATAGACTGGTCAATAAAAAAGGTATCTGAAACAAACTATGTAGCTCGAACTGCACGTAAGTTAATATTAGAAAAAGGTATTTTAACCATGCCTAATCCTAAATTAGGAAAAGCTCTTCCTGATATAACAGTTCAACTGGTCAAGACATTTTACGAAGACGATGAACATAACCGTATAATGCCTGGTAAAAAGGACTATGTAAGCATAAAGAAAAATGTCCACATGCAAAAACGTTTGTTCTTATGTAATTTAAAGGAATTGTTTGTTGCCTTTAAAACCAAGAACCTAGAAATAAAAATAGGATTTTCAAGGTTTTGCACCTTGCGACCTAAATGGAGTATTACTGTTGGTGCCTCAAGAACACATTATGTATGTGTCTGTGCTATTCATCAGAATTTGAAACTGCTTTTACATCCTCTTGGTGTGACATACAAATAATTGTTACCTTATATTGTCTGTGATATAACTAATAAAGACTGATGAGGAAATGTGAAAAATGCCCAGCAACTATGAATGCATTGGTTGAAAAACTTTATGATATACTTGGAGAATTTGAAGATGATGATGAGATTGAATTTGATCAATGGACAACAACAGATAGGTCAAACTTGACACATAATAAAGAGCCAGTGTTTGAATACATTGAACTAATATGTAGAAAACTGGAAAAACTTGTACCACATTTGTATTTAGCAAAGAGTCAAGCATTATACCTGAGATCAAGAAAGGAAGATATGAATGAGGTAACAGCATTATTTCTGGGCGATTTTTCAGAAAACTATAAATTTGTAGTTCAGGATGAAGTGCAAAGCTTTCATTGGACAAGTTTACAATGTACACTTCATCCAGTGATTATTTATTTCAAAAAAGAAGGCATTCTCAAGCACAAATCCTGTTGTATTATTTCGGATGATATGATCCATGATGTGAACATGGTTTATAAAATTATTGAGGTTGTTTGCAATGATATAAAAACAAATTTGCCTCAAATAAAAAAATATTGAATACTTTTCAGATAGGTGTGCAGGTCAATATAAGAATTGCAAAAATATGTTAAATATTGGTTTCCATTGTGAAGATTTTTGTTTTACTGCTAAATGGAACTTTTTTGCAACTAGTCATGGTAAGCAACCTTGTGATGGGATAGGTGGTACAGTCAAATGTCTGGCAACACTAGCAAGTTTGCAAAGAGATATGGATAATCATATTTTATCTCCACAAACAATGTATAAATATTGCAATGAAAACATTGAAGGCATAAATTTCATATATATTTCATCAGAAGATTTAACTTTGGTGAGAACCGCTTTTAAAGAACAATTGGATACTGCTAATGCAATACCTGGAACACGTAGTTACCATCAGTTTGTATCACTTGGCCATCAAAAGGTAAATTATTATTTTTAATTATACCTTTTACCATATTTTAAAATACACGCATAACTTTTATTGATAAACTCAAATAGATATTAGATTTTTGCAGAATCATTATCAAAAATATTTGTATTTTATTTTATTTCCTCTGCATTTGCTATCTATGCATTTAATAACATGTTTGATAAGTAAAACGGAATAATTGCATATGTTACTATTTTGTTTAGGTAGGCATTAAGCTATGCAGTGTTGATGAAGAATTTGCTTTAATTCATGACTTTAAAAATATCCAGATAACAACTGTAAACCTAGTACCAAGAGATTATGCCTGTGTTTCCTATGAGCAAAAGTGGTGGATAGGAGTCATTGAAGATATTAATTTAGAAGATTAATTTGTTTTTATGTACAGAACATTAAATAATGATGTATTGGTTGATGAATTACAGCAGTAATGTTAATAGAAAATATATTTTATTCAAGTAAAATGACTAATGCCTTTTTTTAATTGAAAAAGTTGACTAAATATAGCTTTTTTTTTAAAAAAAAGGAGTTTAAACCAAAAAAACCATGTTTTTTTTAAAAAAAAACACTTGGTTTTTGGTTTTTTTATAAAAACCATGGTTTTTTGTTTTTTTTTTCAAAGTAAAAAAAGGTTTCTATGCAACCCTACTTCAGTGCACTTCACAATAATTTCAAAAAATGACCACAAAAAGTGTAAAGTGCTCATAATGAATGAGCAATAAAGCCCTTTATTTTGAAATTTGATCACTATTTTATTATTATTGAATATAACAGGTGTTTACTTCATTAATACTTATTACTGTTTTTATGTAAGAACTTCATTCAGAGTATATTTGATTTGATTTGATTAACATTTCTTTATTAACAAAAGCTTACAATAATAAAGCTGACAGTGAAGCTTTAAAAAAAGATAAAAATAATTAAAATGAGAGATAAAACAAAATGTAAATAATAAAACAAGAACTAATAAATAAGATATAATAAACATCCTACTTGTAGCTTTTTTATAGCTTGAAAGACTGACCTTATGTGTTTGTTGTGGATTAAAATGACAACATTAAACATTAACTGGACAACTTATATATAAATAGTATATTTTTTATTGTCTTTTATTTGTTATTATTTATAAAAATAACTGTTTATATAATAATAGTAACAAATTTGATCATTTATACAATTTTACTCTCTTTTTCAGTTTTTTTTTTAGTTTTATTTACTATTTATTTTTTTATTTAGTTTAAATGTCGTCAGTGCAAGGGCGACTATTGTGAACCTTGTTTTAGCAAAGTAAAAGATCATAAATTAGAGTTGTGTGACAAGTTAATAAATAATGATAACATTAATTGTTGTTTAAAATGCGTAGTTTTTTCTAAAAAAAACTTTCAGAGAGGAAATTTGTTTTTGTTGGAGACAAAACAATTGTCAGAATTTTTGAATGAGCGCCACATATCTACTACTCATTGCAGAGAAAAATACGATTTAATTGATCTAATAATGGAGTTTGCTGAAATGCAAGGTTTTAAAAGTGTTTCAGATATTGAACATGATATGATACATCGCAGAAAAGTGGAAGAATTACGAAGAGCTGAGATCGATCGCCAAATGGAAGAGAGGGGTGAAAACAGTAGAGGCCTGGAAAATCATTCAATAACTTCAACTGAGACACTATCTTTGAGAAATAACTTTAATTGTTCTATTGATGCTGCTCCTGTTATAGTTGTTTCATATAATAGCAGTACAGAATTAGTAAACAATTCAGAAGATAATTCAAATATAGAAAATGGCATAACTAATATTCTAGATTCTTCGTCTACTAATGATCAGTCAACAAATGAATCAAATGTTACAGTAAAGTTTTTTTTTTTAGTTTTTATAGCAATTGCTTTTTTACTTTTTAATTAAAAAATTCAGTAACAAAAAAGTATAATGTATTGTATATTTATTGTTATTACTTTTTTTATTTAAAACTATATATATATATATATATATATATATATATATATATATATATATATATATATATATATATATATATATATATATATATATATATATATATATAGTTTTAAATAAAAAAAAATATATATATATATATATATATATACATATATTTATATATATATCACTTATTAATGTCAATAAATTATTTTCAGCTTCAACAAGTTTGTTTTAATCAGAGTTATGGAAAATGGCGTTCAATGGATGATATAAAAGATGAGAATGAAATAAATAATTTATCTGTTATTGAGCTAAAGCAAGTTTTGAAGGCAAATTTTATAGACTACAGAGGTTGTTGTGAAAAGAAGGAACTTATGGATAAAGTAATAATGCTGTACAAATCCCAAAAAAAAGGTGAAAAAAAAAATGATTCTAAAATATTTAGTATTATTTTATTTGTAAGAAAATGAAAAAAATAAGTAAATAAATTATGAATAATGCTTGTTCATGTTGAAGGACACAAGTTTTTAAAAATGGAGTTTTGACAACATTTTGTCACCTGACAACATTTTGAGGTGTAAAAGTTCATTGTTTTGCATAAGGATCCCTCATTCCTTTTAGTCTGGAGAGTTTCCTATTCAGATCATTCAGGCCTGATGCCTTAATAAATGTAAATATATTAAGGCATCAGGCCTGTTAAATATTTTTAAATACTATTGTTTTATATTAAGCATTTTATTAACAAAAACATTGAAAATCTCTTAAAACATTTTCATGACTGAGCCTCTTTTTAGCGTGAATTTAGTTATTTAATCCGAACTGTATTGGAAGCAAATCCAAACTTGTTACGGAAGACAAATCAACAAATTTTTATAAAATAGTTAAAACCAAGGCTCAAGTGCTTTAATCAAACATAACTTATAACATTGATAGTTTCTAATAACATAATCTCATCAGTTCAAATGGTTTTGTTTGAAAATCAAAAACAAATTTAAAAAATTATTTTTGATTATTTAACGGACTTTTATTAAATAAAAAATGTTATTTTTGAGAATTTTCAAAATAAAAATATGGCTTACAAAATTACAAGTTTTCTGACATCTTAAAATAACTTTAAAATATTAAGGATTTTATGGCTTCAAATTGAAACACAGTTGTTCTATTTAATTTTAAAAAGAACAAACTAATTGAAATTTTAACAATTGCTTTTTATAAAAAACATCTTAAAAAAAAAAAATTATCTTAAAAAGCTGTGAAAAAGTTAATGTTAAAATAATTTTTTATGAGATAAAAATTTGTTGCTTTAAGAGATGCTCGCATATTTATTGTCTGAATAAAAAATATTTTGCCCATGGAAATAAAGATATTGGTCTTATTGTCTAAATAATTTTTTTTTTTTCCTACAGAAAATTTATTTTAAAAAATTGCATTTTTAAAAAATCTGTTGTAAGTCGTTTGAAATAGTTTTTGACCTTGGCCTAACTCGAAAAAACCCCGTGCAATGGCGATAATAATTAGGAACTTTTTTTGTGACGGATTAATTTAGTTCTGTTTTTTGCTTGTTATTGTTTTTTTTTTTTTTACATGTTTTCTAATTATGTTTATTTGTGTGAGATTTAAATACCTTTTGTCTGATTATTTTGAATTCATTTTGTTACGATATAACTCATAGATTTGCTTCGACATGCTGCAAATATGGTGCAAATTATTTTCGATTTAGCTGCTAATAGGATGCAAATTGTTTTCGATATAGCTACTAATATGATGCACATTATTTTCGATATAGCTGCCAATTTTATGCTATTTCTATACGAAATTTCTATATTATTTGTACGCGATGGTTATTTGCGTTTCAAATAAAATTCTTTATTTTTTTTAGACGCGACAAGTTGTAATGAGAATGACCGTGATTTATGTAAAATTTGCATGGATCATACTATTGACTGTGTACTGCTTGATTGTGGTCACCTTGTATCATGCACGAAATGCGGAAAACGACTAGCTGAATGTCCAATTTGTCGTGCTCTTGTTGTTAGAGTTGTTCATATTTTTAGAGTTTAAAACTAAGTCATTGTAATTTTTTTCCCCTTTTTAAATAAGAATGATCTTTACACATTATTTTTATGATAATCATACAATTATTTATTTGAAAATACCTAATATATTATATTATTTTAGAGCGTGTTTGTGTGTGTGTGTGTTGTGTATACATATACATACATACATACATACATACATACATACATACATACATACATACATACATACATACATACATACATACATACATACATACATACATACATATATATATATATATATATATATATATATATATATATATATATATATATATATATATATATATATATATATATATATATATATATATATATATATATATATATATATATATGTATATATATATATTAATATATATATATATATATACAGAAGCTCGGGATGGTTTATACTTTATAAAATGGTGACGGGATGGCATCCCGCATCACTTCGAGCACTGTCTTATATATATATATATATATATATATATATATATATATATATACATACATATATATATATATATATATATATATATATATATATATATATATATATATATATATATATATATATATATATATATATATATATATATATATATATATATATATATATATATATATATATATACATACACACATTTATGTATATATGTATGTATATTCATATATATGTATATATAAAAGTTATTTAATGTTGTTTTTTGAGGTTGTATAGGAATTTGCAAAAAACATGCTCTGATTGCCGTCAGCAGTATTTGTTTCTTCGAACAGTTTAATTACATATTTTTATGAGCTTTAACTTTTTTTTTGTATACTTAAATGTATTTGTGATTTCTTAAATTAAGTGCGTTTTTATAAAACCTTATAGATTTTAAATCTATTTCGCCGATTTTTGTGGTTTATTTTACATATTCGTTTGTTACATCCCCTGTACATTTATACACCTGTTTTACGTTAAGCAAAAGTTCAATTTGATTTGTTTTCCTAACATTTAATGTTTCTTTATTTTAGAATAACTTTAGAATAGCTCACTATTGACAAGTTGACTGCTGGCGGAAAAAGACATTAAATGAGCGCGGTTTTGTATATATTATTCTACGCATAGGAACGCGGTTTCTACTTTGCTATTTTTTTCGAACGTATATAAAAGGGCACTTTTTTGATATTTAGTCCATGGTATGTGTATGTCTTTAAAACCAATTTTTTATAAGGGTAACGAAGTTTCAGATATTGAATGTATATGTGATATTTACATGTTAAATTAAATAATCTTTGAAACAACTTAAAATTTTTGTTTTTGCGCGCATTCATCAGAAATGTGGAACTACAGTTCTATTTCAAATGTTTGTAAAAATGTATAACGTTTACGCCAAGTGAAGCTTGATAAGCATTTATAACTGCGTTTATTTTGGTTCGAATACCTAGCTGTTCTACAACAATGAGAGCTGCATTGCCATCCTTGATAGGCTATGTTAAATTTGTATTCGAGCCTATCTTTTCTGTTAAATTCATTTTATTCATACTAAATTTAAAAATATGGTTTGTAAATTTATAACTGCTCCAACCATTTTCATGTACTGCTTTAACTGGCAGACATGTCTTGTCTGCCAGTTAAAGGTAGTGTCAATGTAGAAATTAAAAAATGGATTGATAAGTGTTGGTTGTCTTTAGGTTTACAACTCTGTCTCTGAAGCAGTTAATCAGGGTCACTTTTTAATCGCTAAGTATTTTATTAAAAGCGCGTGTCCCTAATGGATTTTGGTTGAAAAGTCGGGATATATCTACCATAAAAAAAATTGGGTAAAAGAATGGCTCCGGATGGCTTTCTTTCTAAATCATCAATATATTTTGTCAATCATCAATAAATAATCAATCAGAGCTAGCAGGTGTTGAGGATTATGTCACTGATGATATAAACGAGTTTCTTTGTGCGCGCTACAATGTAAGTGTGTTGCATGCATCGCAAACAAGCTTTAAATCTTCAGGGCTAAATGTTTTTAGCCTTAAAGTTTTTGAAGTTGAAGAATTATATTCTTATATTCGACAGCCATGTCAGGATATGTAATAATTTCTAAAATGTCATCAGTAACTTTGACTTGGCTTAAATTTAATTAATGCCTTATACTGTAAAGGAATATGCTCGTAATGGTCAATAAGCAATTCAGCTACAAGTTTTGCTCATCTGTCTTTTTTTAGAAATAAGACAAAGTCTTATTTTTTTTGTCACCATGTAAATTGATGCCTATTAATTACTAATTTGGTTATGAATAATAAATCTTGTTGCTGAGTGGTAAACCTGAAGTATAAATGGAATGAGCTTCATTACTTTTTCATTTCCATAAAAGTTTTTGTATTTATTTCATAATTTCTTTTTCTACCCTGAAGAATGCTGACATATTCATCAAACTTAGCTCAATTAGCTTCGATGAATTTAGCAAATTCAGTATCTTTAATTTTTCTTAATTTTCATCCACTGTTTTATTTCGTTATATACTATGTATGCTTTTTTTTATCTTATCTAATTGTAAATTTATTATACATAAGCACAATAGATATAAAGCTTTCAAAAATTTATTTCTATCCGAAATGGGAGGGCTTGATTGCTAATAGCTTGTCGCTATTAAAAAACTTGTGCTTTTGATTTTATTTCAAGTTGATTTTTACAAGAATAGTTTTAACATTAAAACTAATCTAAATCAGCACATTTAATTTTATAGACAGTATGCTCACATATATACTCACAGTACACTCACATATAGATGTCATTAAAATTGCAATCGTTTCAAAAAAATTATGAAAATTTACAATTGTTTCAATAAAAAGTTTTTATTGAATTTATAGTAAATTTTTTGTGTTTGTTAAGCCAACTAAAAGAAGTTGGAACTTATCTGGATTAGCAACCATAGAGTTTAACTAAAACCAATTGATGATATTGGTTGCTTCGTTTTGCAAACAAAAAAATAACCTTCTCAAAGCTTAATCACAAGCATAAATAGTGTTATCATCCGAAAAATTACAAAGCTCCGTATCCTCGATGAATAAAAATAAATCATTTATAAAGATATTGAACAATATAGGTCTAAGGATTGACCCTTGAGGCACTTCAGATAATTTATCCACCCAGTTTGAGGCAGAAGACCCTATTCTTACACTTTGTTTACAGTCACAAATATAAGATAGCAAGAGATTCAGACTTTTTTTAGAAAAACTATAGGCGTCTTATTTAGGTCTATGTCTGTATGAGCAAGAAAATAAAGAAGAATGTATGAGGTCTGATAGCGCTGCATCGTTTATGAAATAGTTATTAAAAATATTAGTCAATAAAAAGTTGTCAGAGATGATGTTACCATTTTAAACTAAAGTGATTTGTTTTTATAGAATTACCTGATTTATCTGGAAGAAAAGTTTAGTTAACTTCCAGAGATATGTATCTGAAATCAAGAGAGTGTTAATTTGCTAAAAGTAAATTTTCTCTAGCTTATAGTTCAAATTTACTACCCTATTTCTTATTTGTTTTTTTTACATTAACGCCGAAATATCAGATATATCACTAAGGCTTTTTTTCATATAATGTAGAGAGGAGCATAAATACTTTTTGGAATTAAGTTTTAACTTAAAAAAGGTTTATTATTATCCATGAGCATTTTAGACGCAAGAGGAGCATGCAAACCTAGAATATTGCTAAATATCTTACTAAAAGAATCTATATCATAACCAGAATTTAAGTTTTTATGGAGCGTTGTTGCAAATTTTTTGCTCGAAAGATTTTTAAACGATCTATTTATAATATTTTTAGGTGGTAACTAACAAAATGTAGATCTAAACATTTTGCAAATGATTAGCACTCACACCCGTACAAAAGTATTAGAATGTTGAAAGCACAACTTTCTATTGTTAAAACAAGTTGGTTGTTATTTAAACTAATTGATTGATAAAGTTAAAAGAATTCCTTCAGTTAGTCAAGATATAGATTTATAGATTAAAATAAAAGTTATATAATTTAGATTTAGACTTAGATTAGTCAGAGAGATGTTTTCTTCTTCTCTGCTTTAAACAAGGTCAACCCTGATTATATTTCTTAATTTTTCTATCGTCTTCCCAAACACAATGTTGTTCATGAACTTAAAGAAGTCTTTCTCAAAGTCTGATTTTGATTTATTTTTAAATCAGTATTCATCTGAATGTAGGGTGTTATCCATGCTTCTTGCTTAAGTTCCTGAGCAAATAAAGTCTCAGATTGCGGTAAAGTAGGATGTACCTCTCCTTATCTCTTAGATTTGAAATTAGTTTTTCCCATCCAATAAATTTTACTTTGAGGTTTTCAAGTAAAATTAGAAAAGTTAATTTTTCAGGGGCTAAAGGATAATTAGAGTACACGCAAATGCTCAGGGTATGCAATGTCACATTCAAGAATTATACCCTCTGGTGAATCGTTAGAAGTTTCAAAGACTTCTTCTATTAATATTTGGCACCACTGGAAGCCTCATATAGCATCATAGCCCACTCTTACAGATTGATTGCGTAAGGTTATACTATGTGAATTAGACTAAGTAGAATCATAATCAGGACACTGAGGGCTGTTTGTCTTAGAAAATTGGTTTATTAATACGGTGATACCTCGGCGTATTTACCAGAAGAGATACATGTTAATGCTATTTAAAAGCTCAAGTTTAACTTTAGTTTTTTTTAGTAAAGCGTTCTATGACATTTCTAAGCTGCTAAAGTAATGGGTTAGATTAAAGCCATTTTCAAAAATGCCTGCTAAAAATTACATGTCGGTTTTAAGATAAATGCCATGATAATTACCAAAAGTCTTACAACCAAAAGTTACCCAAAATTTTTGCGTATGTTAGTAATCTTTATTAGTAATTTCACTCAGTTTACTGTAAAAGATTTCTACAGGTAGTAAACATGTTTCATAAATCTGTCAAAGCTTTTTACATACTTATACGATTAAACTTTCGTACGGCGTAAATGTGTCAGCTCATTATCATTTAATTTTTTTTTAGTTATAACTAAGTCAGCATTTTATTTCTTTGGTTGATGTTCTAGCAAGAACCATTT